AATTAGAAAACGCTGACATTCGGTGATAAACAGGCTCTCAGATAAAATAAATGAAGGTATATTTTACTAATAGCCTGTTGTCACATTGTTTACGCTGTGCCAGCTGTGGATTTAACGAAGCGTTCGCAGCGTTTGCATGCGTAATTAAGTGCGACACGTGATGGAAATAAGTGGTCACATGTCACAACTATTTGTATATATGTATATATTTTCGGACAACCTTTTCTAGATCCACTATATATATATATATATATATATATATATATATATATATATATATATATATATATATATATATATATATATATATACATACACCTATTTGCAAAAACGTTGGCCGTAGATGGATAGATAGATAGATAGATACTCGAAGGCTAATTAGAATTGCATATCATTACATTAGCATGGGATTTCTATAATATTACACAACATATGCAATTCTAATTAGATTTCAAGTATCTATCTATCTATCTATCTGCGGCCAACGTTTTTGCAAATGGGTGTATATATATATGTATATATATATATATATATATATATATATATATATATATATATATATGTATATATATATATATATATATATATATATATATATATATATATATATACACATATACACCCATTTGCAAAAACGTTGGCCCCAGATAGATAGATAGATAGATACTCGAAGTCTAATTAGAATTGCATATGATTACATTTGCATGGGATTTCAATCATATTACACAACATATGCAATTCTAATCTGCGGCCAACGTTTTTGCAAACGGGTGTGTATATATATATATATATATTATAGGCTTAGACATTCTTTAGACATTCTTGAAATTCAGGCTTACAATATTAATGACGACATTGCGTACACAGCCTTAACTTAAACAAACACTCCTGCGCCTTTCATTGCAAGTTAACATTATCCGCGCAAAGATAATTAACATAAGGCCTGGGGTCCACTAGCTTTTTAACTTTGGTAACACCAAAATGTATTCTTGCAAATCAGTTCAATTGGCAAGTTATTCTGAGTAAAATGAAAGGTTTGCACGAATGTGCAGTGTCGCAGAATTCACTGGTTTCGTTCAGTATAAATTGACCTGCACACGCTGGTTTTACGTTTATCTTTAATTTACAACAATTTTACATAAGAATTCTCGTACAACAATTTAAACAATCTAAAACAATCTGAAACAATCTCCCATAATACAGCTCTACACATTTACTTATAGTCCCGGTTCGGAAACCGTTCCGACGTACTTAAGCTTCGTTTACCTCAAACCACTAACTTGGCACAAGCAAAATTAATAGTTTGGACATCGTGCCCGTTTTCATATATTTTGGCAAAAACAACTAGCTAATACATTTAGAATCGTTTCCTGTTATTTTTCGTTATTTTACATTCATCCTGTTTGTTCCATGCATTAACACCATTATATAGTAAATGTATTTATCGTTAACATAAACACACTGACAACCACGCATATTTACTAAGATATACACACATACAAACAAACACAATATTTCAAACATGCAGTTAGTAGTTACGAACACCAGACACACCGAGCGAATGACCACGATATATAAACTAACCAAATTTAGGCGCTAAAACTGATTTAAATTCTAGAACAACTGAATCTTGTGCAATAATTTTACCGTCTGGAAGCAATTGGCACTTGTCATGACATTTTAGGTTACGAAGTAATACCTTTATGGTAAGAATATTAGGGCAATAAAGCTGAGTCTAGACCTAAATAAGCATTAGAAAGCTTTTGACGGAGTTGAATCATGTTACATGATCAGTTGGAAAGGCTGCAGGCGTGAAAGGGTGCAAGTTATGAGCTCTTCAACTTATTATGAAGCAACTGCATTACAGATAGCTATATATGCCTTATTAAGAACGGTCTACGTCGTACTGTACCACTTAACAATTTTTTAAAACAAAATTTTTCACGCAACTGATAAAAAAACTGAAAGACACAACTCTCGAACATAGAAAGTCAGGCGGTTGTAACTGATTTGCATATTTTAATTTATTGACTTAGATTTTTTAATGATGACTGATAACGTATTGAGGATTTTGACGTTCACGTGCATGTACCTGCGTATGCATGACCGCACTCGCTGGACGCGATTGTTAAAAATAACTTGAAAGCCTATACTAATTCCTTCCTGATCGCTTAATGTTTCGTTGTTTTGTCTAATACGATGAAGATTTGATTTTTAGATAAAATATTTTACGTTTTATTTCGTTAGGAATTTTTTCAGGTTAGAGTTCCGGATCGAATTAAGAGCAACTGTTCTCTAAAGCGCCTGGGTGCGAGGCTGACGCGAAACGCTCACTTTCTACTGTATTTATTTATATATATATATATATATATATATATATATTTATTTATATACAGGGTGTCCCAAAAAAAAACGAAAACTATTGAAATCACCCATAACATTGTAATTGTTAGAGTTTGAAAGCCTAAGCACTCTGTTGGGACCCACAAGTGTGTAAATGTTCGCCATAAGCATTTTTATGCATGCATATGATGCAGTAAAATTTGCTCGTACGCGAAAATGATATTTATTAACAAAATTTAAATGTGCATCTCAATCACCATGAGCTTCGACATGTCCCCTTTCTCTTGCAACACAAAGCATTTATAGCATTACACTTAGTTGCATTAAATCCCCACGGGTTAAAATTCGTGCACACGGCATTTAACAATGAGTGATTTAAATAGTTTTCGTTTTTTTTGGGACACCCTGTATATATATATATATATTTAGTGTTGTTTGATACCCTTGGTCTGATATTCATTGCTTCCGAGACAAACTTTTTATATATATATATATATATATATATATATATATATATATATATATATATATATATATATATATATTTATATATATATATATATATATATATATATATATATATATATATATATATATATATATATATATATATATATATATATACATATATATTTGAGTTCACTAGTCTGAAGTCAGTAAAAACACCAGACACAGTACTAAAATGCGGTGCCCGCAATGCTCGCCTAGAAATAAAACGTCCGCTCATTTCTAACGACATCACCAACTTACATTCTCCTGTCGGCCGCAGCCTGCCTGGTTGGTTGGTACATTAAGGTCAAAATTGCGCCGTTTTAAAATCTTCAGAGATAAAATATTTAGGCTAAAAATACTATCTAAAAATACTATCAAAATGAAGAGAAACGTGAGACGAATAAACTGGTGTAGAGCCGGAAACTAGAAAAGCAACGATACAGAAGTCTAGGATTAAGCGTACTGCATTTTTAATTTGTTTAATAATTTTGAGCGATTTGTCATAAAGTTCGCTAATTGAAACTATACTTTAAAACCTTCGAAATAGAATATATTTGGCTCAAAGTACTATAAAATAAATCGTAATGTAAGACCGATCCACTTATTTTTGGACGAAAATTAAAAGAGAAAACCAACGATATGAAAGATATCAAAGACCAAACTTACTATTACTAGTAAAGTATAGCATAGTAATTTTGAGCGATTTGTCAACAATTCAATTTCGTTTGTCTTTCAAACGTCATAAATCGCTGCGAATACTCTTGTTTAGTAATATATTTAAGACCTGTTGGTATTTTTGTCCTTCTTGGGTGCATAAAGCAGAGATACACGCAATTATCAGAGTTTGAGATTGAAATTGAAAAAAGAACGTTCCTTTAAAAAAGGAATTTGGCAAACGTACAACAAGATTAATGGTAATAATTAGGAAAAAATTCCAAGCATTCCAAGCATGTGCAAGGAATTTTTACTAGGCGATTAAGGAAACGTATTGATGCGAACAAACAAACTCACAGGCAGAATATAATGCGGTGCCAAACTTGGCGCGGGCACCGCAATTTTTCGCGAAGCTTGGAATCACGCGACACCTAGAGTCAGTAAACAGTAATAAATTTATATTTATATTCCCCGAGCCGGTGCGGAGCACCGTGCGAGGGTACTAATTCCGCTCGGATATTTACACCCACGATGTGCAAAGGCGAAATCAAAGTTGTCCGCCATTATGCAATGGACCTCACGCCATGGACGGTCTTCTACGTTATGCGCATGCACGTCAATGAATAACTGTCATTTCGCAAAATTTTGATGAAATTTATAAATATATATTTTCATAAATTTGGAATACATGTATTTTTAATTAAATTAGAGGGAAAATCGAATGTGGTCAGGACTTTTCACGGTTTAACAAATAACAAGACCAAATTTTCGACCGAATTCACCGTGTCCGTGTATAATGAAGTCGGAAGATTTTACACTTGGTCTTGATAATATTTCACCCGGCACAGCTTTAAAAAGTAATTCTTTTGTGATTCTCAAATGTATTTCACTATATTTAAAATTTGAATGTGTTATGTGATATACGACATAATGACAAAAAAGAAAATCAAAACATTCCCGTGCAAAAACCAGTCGAGACGTAAAAATAAAACTTCGGAAGTCGTATGAGAAGTCTGATGCTATATTTCATGCTAATTAATATTTAAGATAATTTACCATAACACTGAGTATAGATGAGTAACTTAACTTCGAGAAAAAGGTAAGAATCTTGTCGTATTTTTGCCATTTTTCACAAAAATACGAGGGTAAACTTTGAGTGACTTTGATTCTTTAAAAATATACGGCCGTTGCGAGTTGCTATGACTACAGTGCTTCCACGTGCAGAAAAATATTTCCATACTTTTCTCAATTTCTTTTTCTTACATACCATGTACCCTCCAAAATCCAACCCACATAAATTTGCTAACAATCATGGTACCATCCCTATGCTTAACTAATTTCGTTTAACCGAGGCGAGGGGTTTCTGCATGCGTGTATTTCTAGTAATATTTTTATTTTTAATAAATTTATATTCATGTTATAATCATTTTACTGTATATAGCTCAGTGGTTGACAGGAGAATCAATCAACGAGAGAAATGGAATGGAGTCATGCTGTGTACACAAATTTGCCTTGGGCCTGTTCCCCACGAATATTCGAGAAAGCGGAGAATCCTTATCAATCTAGTACGAAGGAACGTTCTTTAACCCATTTTTTTGTAGTATATATGCAGAAGATCAAAAGAAAAGCCTTATTGTGTATAGCAATAGTGGTTTGAGAGGATTTTTTACCAATTTTTTAATGCCCGACTGAAGACGAACTGTTAATCTGCAACAATCCATACAGTACTGCACAAAGATCAAATGTTAATCGGTGAACTGTCGATATGGTAAGCGGATTATTTACTTATTTTCTTTAAAAACGTCAGTAAAAAGCTCAAAAGGAGACTTTAATCACAACAAATGTTCTGTATATTCGAAGAATCGTGTAAGTCAAGGGGTAATCTCGAGGGTAATCTCTTTGTATTATAAATATTATATTCCTTGTTTGGGTTGGGCGAAAATATCTCTCCAATGTCACAAACAGAGACAATTGCGTGGGGTCCTATAAAATATCTATAGAAGTTTTTATAACAAAATTCCGCGACTACTCGACACTAAAACGATATGGGTTTTATACCGCATTGAATACGAGTATTGTCGCGTTGGATGTATCTCAAAATTTGTGTGTCTCAAAATTTGAAAAGACATTTCATAATTATATCTGTTCCTTTCTGGTAGACATTTAAACTATTCAAATACGTCAACTGATAAGGAAAACATGCGTAAATTTACCTTTTGAAATGGTTCAAGTGTTAAGTAGGATTATCGGTCTAGTGAGGGTATGACAGATTACTGCATGAAAGAACTGAATTTGGTTCCTGTACTTTGTCTAATGACTAATGTATGTCAGAACACATGCACTTCTTAACAGGCTAAGACTCTATATGAAGAACAGAAACACATCTGTCACAAAATACTGCGATGTTGTATGCACTTTGTAACAAAGACCTTTAAATACAATATTTATGGTTTTAAATATGATTTGGCAATATAAAATTAAAGTGATCCAAGCATAATAATTTCCTTATTAAAGCAATTCAGTGAGTCGATGGAATAAGTTTGACTAATCTTGGTGTAATTTCCTCCCTGAACTATGATGAGAGCAGTTTCCCATTCATAAATGACGTATCTGGCTCTATGGTTGCATAAACTCAACAGCCACAGCACACAGTCACACTGTTTGAACAAATGTTAAAGGCCTAACAGATTAATGCTTCAGATTCATTTCCTACCAAAATAATAGAAAAAAAAAGCTAAAAAACATGACTATTTTGAACTTTACGAGGTGAAGCACAGATCTGTATGAGAAAGTGATTCTCACAATGGTAACTTTTTCTACCTAGGCTCCTAGCATGCATGTCTTAAATTAGGATGGGTATAGATTTGACTATTCCTAAACAAGCTTCACTGCTATTGCTTCGAAAAAATATATCTTTAACAGTATTACAGTCTTTAAATGTAACCAGTGGGTATAGGCCCAGACCATTGGACCTGCGAAAAATTGGATCCTGGATCTTTAGAAACAGTTGCTTAACAGCATACTTAGTTAGCATTTTGTAATTTTTTTTCAATATTACTTTTGAGGACTCTTATTCTTAGCAGCATATGATGGTTTACACTGGGTCTCAAATGGATCCAAACATTTTAAAATTATTTCTAAATAGAGATGGTGTAATTTATAGTGACATTGAAGAATTCAAAGTGTTAAGTCAAAATGTGTGTTGTTTAGCTGTGTTGAATTTCTACTTAACAAAGGTGCACAAATGCTCACAATTTCTTCTTAACAAAAGTTAATTTCTTTTTAACAAAAGTGCACAGATACTTTCAAATTTGATAAAAAACCCAAATATCTGACTTTTCATGCAGGGTAAATTTTGAACACACGCTAGGAGAGAGCTTTTTTCATCTCTGATCAAAAGTGGGAATTTTTTTTTAGTTCAAAGAATATACGAATGGCCTGTATTCTTTCTCGTAAATTATTGCTAAACAAACTTTAATAACTGATAATTGCTTAAAAACTAATGTGAAATTTGTTATGATAGATTTTTCAAATTAGAAAACGTCGTTAGATTGCAAAAAAAAACTGTTTTGCGGATGAAAAGTGGCGCCATTGTTGCCGTTGTTTTTCAAAGGCTCTTTTAAATCCAGACCGTCTGGTAGAGACAAAGGAGCTTTGCAGGAGATTATTAATATTTACGATTTTGATGTACAGCATTTTTTCTCAGTTGCGGATTTTCGTCACCAGAAACATGACCACCCGCTATAGACCCGCTTTTATCTCCCGCTTTTATCACGCTTTAGGTTCAGGCCCTAAAATACGTCAATGGTTTTTACCAAATTTTCATTCATCAGTTTTATGTAATTTCATATCTGCTCCCTCCATGCAGAAAACATATGGTAGCATTGTTTTGAAAATATATTGATGTAAAAAAATGTCGTACATTCTTGCGTAAATGACTATCATGTGGCCAGACGATTTTAATACTGAAAGTGTGCATCCTTGGATTAGAATATATGGTTTAAACGTTTCATTAGCTTTAGTGTTTTTTTTTTGAAGCTCAAATCTTTGTTTTGACTAGAAATTAGAAAAACATGAAATTTTAGACAACAATAATAGTGTCAGACAATAATATTAGGGCTAATATTAGTGTCAACCTCAAGGGTGGAAAACAGAACTTGTGTTTACATACTTTGATTAAAATCTTGTTGTTAAAAATTGTCCCAAGTAACTATAATTTATACATACAGTCCATGGGTTATGTATTAACGCTCGTTTCGAAATCTAGTAGCTACGACTACGAGATCTCTTCTTTTGACAATCTGCTGTTCCAGCTTCGCCTCGTCCTTCAGTTCGCACAACACATTTTATAAACAAAAGATATTATGTTCCGAGCAAAAGATATTTAATGAATCTCATTGTTGTACTAAATTTCGTAGTCGTGCCAAATTGAAATTTACTAATTCTAGATGAATGTTTTGAATGTACATGCAGTCGAATCTTTATTATCTTTATTTCGAGTTTATGTTTACATGTCGCGAATCGCCATTTTAGGCTATAGACACAAAACATAGCTACATTTGATACACATATATAAAGTGTGGGTCAACATTGTATTTTTTTTTGACAATTTTTGTTTATAAATATCTGTTTCAGGATTTTCTGCGATTGCAACTCATGAAGAACAGATGATGTGCATGGTGTTGGCTGCGGTTTAAATTGTTAGAACTATCGAACAAAAAACGAAAATACTGCTCTTCTAACGGCGAAAATGTATAGATCTAAGAAAGGTAACTTGCTTAATATATAGATATAGCTACTACCCATGCACCTGTATATACAGACCTTACAGAATTTTAAGGCTTGTGTATTTCGGGCCGCTTTGTTGTACACGAGTTTCGAACGTAAAAGTTTTTTTCTCTGAGCCGTGCAAAAGGGAGTAGAAACATGCAGAAAACGTGTAAAATTGTCTGGAATCTAATTTAAACGTGTAGATGATCTGTTGTCTGTGATGACCTTTAGGGTATATGCTGCTTCGAAGCAGCATAGCAATTCCTGATAGAGATCTATACTCTATGTTGGGCGACATAGAACATATGTCACCCGTTATAAAGCCTTCTTTTCATTCCGTTGTGCCTTGCCGCTGTCACGGCATGCGGCGGATGAAAAAGACTACAAGAGTTTCGTGCAGTAAATATGATTACATACATATACCCCACACAAAAGACAAGAGAGACTTAGGTCGACACACACCAGACGGCAGACGCGATCCACCAACTCGACGCGATTTTTTGAATTTTTTCGGTTTTCAAAAGCCTCTAATTTTGACAATGTTATGATATTCGATTGATGGTACATATATCTGGTACCCATATCTCTAAACACGTTCTTTCAGAGTTGAATTTATTTAACCCTAAGACAATCTTGCTTACCGTTTGGCGCTTTTAATAGTATTAGGTCAGAAGTAATTGGAGACTTGGTTCAATGAACAAGTATTCTATAATCGTCACAGTAAAAGATAAGAGGATTGTTATACTCTAATACGAAGATGCACATATAGATCATGTAGATAGATCATATACATGCATGTAGATCCAAACGCAATAAAAACTCAAAAAGGTGACGCCTTTTTCTAGCTCCTAGATCTCTCAGGCTACCCTTCAAAAATAGCAGGCATTGAAAACGATAACTGATTTATCTTTATATAAAGGAAATCAGCCTTCACTTTAATAATACAAAATCGGATGTATGAGTGTCTTACGCATATTCAACTTGAACAATGGAACATGATATCATAGGGCGTGAATTGCATTACAATTTACAAATAGATACGCGCTCGTTAATTGAGAATTTCTTAGTTTGTTGAACGCCTAATGCATACAGAAATATTGTCTTTCCTGTATTTGTAATAGTTCTGTTATTTCATAATTCGCTCGAAAATTGGGGCGTTGAAGAGCATATAAATCAAGGGTGGGTATTTCCAGTCTGTGAGCCATTTCTGGTTCATTGTATGTGTATAAAACGTGTGCATAAAAATACATCATGATTTGTTATTGCTGTAATTTACTAGTCACCCATGCAATGATACAAACATAAAGATAGATTAAATCAGTGGACGGTTCCGGCAATTTTAAAACTGGAAAAATGCCGAATCTGGAAAGCAAAATTTAGAGAAAATCCATTTTTCGACTTATGCACTTCTCATCGACTGCAGTAAATACCATACCCTTTTCGATGGCATAAAGTATTTCTGAAATACGTACAATACCTCCACCTTTTTCCGAAAAAAAGACGATGTTTATCGCTCAAATGCGTCGTTTTCGAACATGATGAAAAAGGGTACCCTTTTTCGTCGATCTTGTTGTTAAGAAGTAAGACGATAAAAGGTACCCTCTTCGGTCTAATACGTCATTACATCGTTCGATGAAAAAGGGTACCCTTTTCGATGACTTATGACCTTTGTAATAAGACGGAAAAGGTACCCTCTTAGATTGGAATTTGATCTGTTGAATTCAAATAGGATTATATAGAAATGGTGTGAAATATTTATACCATTGATATCAAGGTTGAGTGTATAATTTATTCTCTCTTGTTTTTTATTAAAAATGGCAGGGAAAATATCGAATATATGCTAAAGACAATGTTCAAAATAATTATACTTATCAGAATAGCGCATATTGAAACTGCACTGTTAATTCAAAAGAATCATTTTGACTCCTTCAAAGGAGTCGTTTTCTTGACCCCAGGACGACTCCTTGAAGAGAGTCATTTTGACTCATTTTGGGTTGACACCTGTAAAGAGTCATTTTAACCCTTTAACTGGAGTCATTTTGACTACCCATGGAGTCGTTTCAAAATGACTCTTGCAACAGTTAAAATGCAAATTAACTCCTCAAAAGTGTCGTTTTAAAAGAGTCATTTTGATTTTTGACTCTACTTTGGCATCAATTTTACTCTTATTTGGAGTCATTTCGACTCCTTTTTGTCATCAATTTTACTCTTATTTGGGGTCATTACGACTATTCTGTGGCATCAATATTACTCTTATTTGGAGTCATTCGACTCTTCTTTAGCATCAATTTTACTCTTATTTGGGGTCATTACGGCTATTCTGTGGCATCAATATTACTCTTAATTGGAGTCATTCGACTCTTCTTTAGCATCGATTTTACTCTCATTTGGAGTCATTTTGACTCCTTTTTGATATCGATTTTTCTCTTATTTGGGGTCATTTCAACTCTTCGTTGGCATCAATGTACTCTTATTTGGGGTCATTTGAACTCTTCTTTAGCATCGTTTTTGCTCTTATTTGGAGTCATTTCCACTCCTTTTTGACATCAATTTTACTCTTATTTGAGGTCATTACGACTATTCTGTGGCATCAATTTTACTATAGTACTGTACACCAATATTAGTTTCATGAAGCTTGCATATAATACAAAAGCAGAGTTTGAGTAAACGATGTTTAATAATGTATATGCAGTGAGTATTACAGCATACCATACATGCATCCCGCAAAAATGTTTCTTTGAAGAGAAATTATGTATAATAAATATCTATATATAAGCATGCAGGCTTTAAAATATCGGCCAACAGGCCGTCTATCAAATGTCCGGTGTCTTTAAAAAATGGGTTGGATATACATTTTTAAAATTAAAATATGGTAAATGGCCATATGTTAGCAGCAATTAATTAAGTAATGGTTTAAAATCGAAGTCTAAACGTCGACGGCTAAACGTTTTATACTTCATAGACATAGTGTGTATTTTTATATCAAAATTAAAATTACACTTTCAAAAACACTTTTTGAAGTTATAGCAAAGGTGTAATAGCCTTTCACAGGTGTATCCGTTTGCATAAAAAGCTGAAAATTAAACAAATAAACGGCATACAAAGCTGAAAATTATACAAATACAGCTCATCCTTACTGCGAAGCAAATACGAAAGAAACAAAGTAAACACGCACCCTTTGAAAACACTTATAAGCTTGCAGATTATGAATTATTTCTCTTACACGGCTTTCGGTCTTGATTGTATCCCTGTTCATCTTTGCTATCTGTCATGCTTCATATATCTTGTTTCTTCCCGTTTTACTTTGCACAAAGTTTATGAAACGCTTTTACAAAAAGGTTTACGAAATGACAGTTAAATTGCTGACGTTCTCGTTGAAATTCAAACTTTCTGTCTTAGCCAATCAGAACGTTTGTTGATTATTTGTCATTTTTTATATCAGCATATACTACTTTTCAGCATGAGTCAGAACTATTAAAATGGATTTATGTATAATATATTTTCATGTGTGCACATCCTGTTCCAGCTGACATTTTCAAGAAATATAAAACCTATATACATGCAGTGTAATATATCTTTTATATTTATTTTATTTTATAAATTGCCATGTTAAAAAGTTAAAATGAACTACACATAAACTACAAATGAACTACACACATGCAATGGCTGGAATCACCACACAGAGATATGTCTCCAATAACGGGGTTCCACAACTAACTTACAAATAGACAGACACAAACATACACATATAAGCAACTTAACAAATTTATAAGACTTTCTCGATACATGAAGAAACGATAACAACTAATATCAAGTGTATTTGTGTCATAATAATTGAGTATTTTTTTAATGTGCTGACTGGTTATTTGCTTCAAATACAAAGGATTTGTAATACATGTAACATGCCTAATGACTTCAATTTAATATTTTAAACATGCAAATTATTTGTTTTGTATATAAATGGCTGTTATAAAACCCAGAATGACTCTAAGAAAGAGTTCCACCACTCCAACAAAGAGTAATATGGCTCCAAGAACGAGTCACATGACTCCATGTGAACTCTACTTAAGAGTCTATTGACTCTTGCGAGAGTCTTGCGACCCTTCAAAAGAACTAAACGAGTCCTCCGAATTGTCATTTTAACCCAATGTCGGAGTTAAAACGACTATTAGAGTCGAAACGACACATTAGAGGAGCAAAAATGACATTTTGAATAAAGGTGTTGAAATGACTCGCCCTGGTCAAAACGACTCTTTTGAATTTACAGTGTGGATTTCCCTGAGGCTAGTCAATGTTCCTCGAAGGAAGCTTCTGGTTCTTATTCTGTTAAAGGCCTAAAACTAGGCTGAGAAACTAGACATTTTTAAGGCGACACAGCCAACACTAGAGAATGCATGTGCCGTATACTATCTGTGCCGCACGCTATAGAGTGCGCTGTATATACAGAGTAACTAAAAAAATAATTCTGGCCATGCAGTTGATGGAAACAGTCACATTGCATGGGCTACAAAGCCAAAAATACTTCGCTGCCTGTCTCTGCATGCAACTATAGTCTATCAAGTTATCAACTATAGTCTAGCCATAACATATATAATCTAACCATAACATATGTAGTATACGGTATATGCCCATTATCATAGTTATTATATCCTTTTCGCAAGGGCTATATGAATCTGTGGACAGGCTACACTTATATATAATATATATATCGATCGATTTAAAAAAAATTATTATAGACTGTGAAATAATGGTGTCCTCTTGCCATGCTTTAAACAGGATTAGCCGAATGCTTCTACCGAAGAAACTTAATTAATTAACCTCAGGGAAATCCTGCTTGAAGGTGCGCTAATCTGCCGTTAGTAATAATTATTTTGGACATAGTCACTCTTTCGCATATACAAGCGCTGGTACCCTTCAAAAAGACGAAACCTGCATACATAATTGGTTAGTAAAAGAGTTCTTTGGTTTGTTTTGCTTTCACTCATACGTGTCAAAATAT